GACACACCTACTGTTCCCTATTGGTCCTATCAATTAGTGACGTGCAGAGACTTTGGCCCTTTAAAAAGTAAAGACAAAGGGAAACACCACTTTTATCGATTCCATACAATTCTCACCATACTTGCATTCAAATTTCGGGGACCTATCTACATATCTGATAAGAAAATCTACAACATAACTTGTAATTATGCTGGTTTTATTTAATTAAATTAATTGAAATTTTACTAATAGCAGGAATATATATATCTGGATAAATCTTGGTCAGATTTCAGTCGTTAGAAATCTTAGTCAGCTAAAGGAAATATGGTTATAAAAATTCCATTCCTGCAGGTGGAATAAAGATAACAATATATTAAAGGTAATATTTCCCAAAGGTTAGCATGTCACATTTATGCAGATGTATTGACTTGTTCTGAAATAAGATAGTGAATCTTATTTAGGAAAGTTGAAATTCAGCAAATGTAAAATCTGGTAGAAATATTCTTATTGGATGGTCCAGGAATGGTTAATGATCTGGTATGAGCATTGCTTTAATTGAAAAAAATTGATACAGAATAGGATATCTTGCCTTGGAGGATTGTAGCCAGCAGTGGAAGGGTTACTGTTATCTGTTAGCCGAAGTTTTTTTGCTTCAGGCTGTGCTGTGAGTTCTGTGTTCAGTTAGTTTCTAAGTGAAGTACCCTATCATAAATCTTGTTAAATTCTTGACAACTGATCGCTTTTTAGACGCTGTATTGTGTTTAAACGATTGCCATATTGTATGCCTATGTTATACTAAATATTCACTGATTGTCACGCATGTTACATATTATTATTTTTATTATTATTGTCACAATAAATTATATTTTTATAATTAAATTGTGATTTACTGTGGATCTAAGAGAATTAAAATCGTGGGTAATTCTCAGCTTTATTATAGTATCAATTTCGGGGAACAGTGCCAAGATATCAATTTTGATATAATAAAAAATTATTAAATAAATTTTTGATGATTTTTATATAAATATTATTTTAATATTTATCACCCCATAAATATCCTCACATTATGGACAACATATTGGCAGTTCGATATGTCAACCACATGGGCGGCACCAAGTCGGATCTGTTGGCTCGCTTGGAAATGGACTTCTGGGAGCTTTGTCTAACACGGAATCTGGTGGTCCAGGCGGAGTACCTACCGGGCCTGCACAATGTTCAGGTGGATTGGAACTCACGTTATCTCTCCGACAGCAGCAATTGAAGATTAAATGTAGAGGTGTTTGGCACTATTTCATCCCTTTGGGATCCCTTTATAATAGACCTATTTGCCTCACAGCTCAACACCCAGCTGCCCCGTTTCTTCTGCTGGTGTCTGGACCCTGCCGCAAAGGCAGTGGACGCTTTCCTGCAGTATTGGGACGGACCTCTTCTTTACGCTTTCTCTCCATTTGCCATGCTTCCCATGACGCTGCTTCAGGTTCGCCGCCAAGTGGCGGAGTTGGTTCTCTTAACCCCATTCTGGGGGACTCAGTCGTGGTTCCCTCAACTGCTGGAGATGGCAATAGATTTTCATTGCCGATATGTCCGGACCTACTTCAGGACCCTGCAAGACATCACCATCCTCTCCGCCTGGAAGGATCCTTTCTATTGATGGCTTGGCGGATTTCAGGGGCAGATCTCGGGAGTTTCGGACACAACTCGGCAGCTCTTGGCGGATGCGTTGGCTCCCGGAACTCATAGATCATATGTTATCATATTGGAATACTTAGCTAGCTGGTGCCTGGCCTGGGACGTGGATCCCGTTTCAGTGCCTGTAACAGCAATTCTCCAATTCCTCACATCTCTGTTTGAAGCTGGCCAGGCCTACCGAACAATAAATGTATACAGGTCAGCCATTTCTTCAGCCAAAAGGGTTTTGAGGGTTGTCTGGCAGGACAACATCCCTTAGTATGCCGGCTCCCGCCTATCTAGACCACGATACACCTCTACGTGGGATGTCTCCATAGTGCTATCATTGTTTGCCTCATGGCCATCTAAAGAGGACCATTTCCTTGTGCCAATTATCTGCGAAATTGGTCACACTGCTTTGCCTGGTATCATGTAAGAGGGTTTCGAATGTTCATGCCTTGGATTTCAACATTCGCTCCTTCACTCCCAAAGGGGTGACTTTATGGATATATCCAGACAAAGACTTTTATTCAAACGGTTTCGTATCCGTCCTTCACTTTTGGCTCCAGCAGTGTGCCAGGTGGCTTGTTTAATGGGAATATGAGATTCGCACTGAGCCGCATCAGTCGCCATCTAGGCCTCATCTTTTCTATCCATTCGACCTCCTTTTTCCAGGGTGACGAGTATTACCATGCCTCGTTGGTTGAAATGGGTGTTGCAACAGGCGGGTGTTGACACTTCGGTGTTTGCAGCCCATTCTGTCCGGGGTGCTTCGGGAGTACGGTTGGAGGACCTGATAAAGACGGCAGACTGGTCTCGGGAATCTACTTTCCGTTATATTATTTTCGACCGGTGACTCATGTTTTTTCTACGGTTGTCAGTCAGCTTTGAACTTGCAATATGAGCCTCCGTGTCTTGTTATAAAATTACATAATTTTGCTATTACATGACGAAAACTTTTATTAAAGACACGGAGGCGAGTATTGTCCCACCCTAAATACACTTCTGTCTTGGTTTACATCATCCCTCCCTGGTATGTTTATGTTTGGATAAGGTTTGTATTAAGGTAAGTGGGGATATTATTGCTATAACCTTTATGGTCGGTATATATATTGAATTTGGGTTTGTTCTTGGGTCTCATGCTTATCTGATAAGGTAGAGATAGACCCTTTTATGGTAGTACTAAGTTGCAAGGACTGAAATAACAGTGTGGCTCCTGTCTATTTATGTTTTCACAGCCTAAACTGGTTTGATGGATTCCAACTGATTATCGTATAATGGGATCCTCTACGTTGGTGGTTTCTTGTTTCCTGTGATGGATTTGTTGGACTCCGACTGGATTTAAAGGCAGTTGTTGTTGTGCGGTTGAACTGATCCCTTGGTTCCTGTTTGATGTTTGTTTATTGTGGTTGCATCTCCAACGAAAGAGGAAATGTGTAGGGAGGTGCTGACTATTATACTGGGACTTGGTATGGGAGTGGCTTATCATTATGTATACCATTTTTTCTTGAATTCTTTGCTGCTATTGGTGGACAGTAAAGAAAGGGATATGCAATACTTGCCTCCTTGTCTTTAAAGGGCCACTATAGTGCCAGGAAAACAAACTCGTTTTCCTGGCACTATAGTGCCCTGAGGGTTCCCCCACCCTCATGGCCCCCCTCCTGCCGGGTTGAAACTGGAGGAAGGGGTTAGACTCTCCTCCTCCTTTGGACGTCATTGGCTGAATGCGCATGCACCGCTAGAGCCGCGCGCATTCAGTCAGTCCATAGGAAAGCATTCTGCTGGCATCTTCTCACTGTGAAAATCACAGTGAGAACCACCTCTAGCGGCTGTCAATGAGACAGCCACTAGAGGCTGGATTAACCCATATGTAAACATAGAAGTTAACCCTAGAGGGACCTGGCACCCAGACCACTTCAGCTCAACCTATAGTGGTCCTTTAATAAAATCATGACTTTTCGTCATGTAATAGCAAAATCATGTAATTTTAAAGGATCACTATAGGGTCAGGAACACAAACATGTATTCCTGACCCTATAGTGTTAAAACCACCATCTAGCCCCCCATGCCTCCAAAAATCTAGCAAACTCTTACTGTATTTAAGCCAGAAGCTGTAACTCTGCATGCTGTTTGTCTCAAAAAAAAAAAAACAAGCAGTCTGCTGACATCATCAGAAGTGGTAGCCTGACCCAATCACAGAGCCAGTCCCATAGGATTGGCTGAGACTGACAAAGAAGCAGAGCAGGGGCAGAGCCAGCATGATTAAAACACAGCCCGGGCCAATCAGCATCTCCTAATAGAGATGAATTGAATCAATGAATCTCTATGAGGAAAGTTCAGTATCTGCATGCAGAAGGAGGAGATACTGAATGTTTGGATGCATTTTAGGCAGCCATGACCCAGGAAGGATCTCTAACAGCCATCTGAGGAGTGGCCAGTGAAGTTATCACTAGGCTGTAATTGTAAACACTGCATTTTCTCTGAAAAGACAGTGTTTACAAAAAAAAGCCTGAAGGTAATGAGTCTACTCACCAGAACAAATTCAATAAGCTGTTGTTCTGGTGACTATAGTGCCCCTTTAAAGGGACTCTCCAGTGCCAGGAAAACAATCCATTTTCCTGGCAATGCAGGTCCCCTCTCCCTCCCACTTCCCAATTCCTGGTTGCTGAAAGGGTGAAAACCCCTTCAGTCACTTACCAGAGACCCCCGCCGATGTCCCTTGGCGGTAGTTTCGGGTCGCAGCCGCTCCTCCTCCTCATTACATCAGCCAGTGGGCAAGACTGATCCCGCCTGCGGAGACCTAATGCGCATTAGAGCTCTCCATCGGAAAGCATTGAAAATGCTTTTCAGTGCTTTCCTATGGGGAATTGAGTGATGCTGGAGCTCCTCACACAGCGTGAGGACGTCCAGCAACACTCTAGCACAGGTTTTCTGCTATGGACGAGGACATGCCCTCTACACTAGAGGTGGAGTTAACCCTGCAAGGTAATTAATGCAGTTTATGAAAAATTACACTTGCAGGGTTAAGGGCAGTGGGACTCCACTCCAATGAGCAGAAGTGGTCTGGGTGCCTGGATTGTCCCTTTAAAAGTCACAACAGCCAAAGAAAGGGAACATAATAAAATTGTCTTTCAGTTTCACTATTTTGGATTAATATTGGAAATTTACATTGAATTCCCAATTGCTCTGAATTAAATGAATTACTGCATGAACTGCTGCCATCTTCAGCGAGCACACTCTCGGAGAGTGGCGAAGTGTGCGTGCTGACGTCACCCACAAGTCGTACCGAGCGTCAATAAATCAGACTGAGAGTTCAGAGAAGCGGCGGAGGGATTGCTTCCGAGTTCCTGGTGCAGGAAGTGACGTTCGGAGCGGGAGAAAGGGTCAGGCCGCAGGGAGGAGATTATGGTGATAAAGGAGGGGTGCATGACGTCACGGCGGCCATTACAGCTCGCAGGAGAGGCTGGGAAGCAGTGAGCCGGGGCTTCGAAACCGTCGTGGACACTACGTCCGTATAATCATCGCGGTTTCCCCGTGCTGTGACTCCTCGCAACCCCCCCCTAGTATCTCAGCCTCGATTGGTCGGAATTTGTCACAATCCGATCCAAGAGCCGGTTCGGTTAGAAGCTGCATCGGTTTTTTTTTTTCCTGTCATCGCTATCGAGGCTTTCTTTTAATCCACCTATTGGTCGCCGCTAGCCGCCCTACAGGGGCCCTCCGGTGCTTAGCCGCCGGACAGCAGATACCTCAACATGGACGAGAAGGCATTTACTAAGGAGTTGGACCAATGGATCGAACAGCTCAACGACTGCAAGCAACTGACAGAGAGCCAAGTGAAGACTCTGTGCGAGAAGGTGAGGGCTGGATGAGGGGCATTGTATGACGTCTGAGATGGGAGCATGGTATAAGGGCTGAGGAGTGGGGGTGAGGCCAGGCACTTTATAAAGCCAGTGGTGGGAAGGGTTAACCGGTTACACGGTGTGACTATGTTGCTATGGCCTGTGGATTACGTGGGCTCATTCATTCCTACTCTAGTTATTCATTATAAATAACCATCACCTAAACTGATGTTTTACATAGGTTGCAATGCATGACTGTGCATTGCAGGGCCCTGTGTGCACGGATATCCCCTTTGACTCTCCATAGGCTTGCTCTCCTTATTCTCTGACTAACTTATCTCAGTAGTGTTGTTCTCATCATGTATACATGTTCTGTCAGGACAGCCCTGGTCGTCTTATATCCACTCTAAATCATTGCTTTAACTGCATTCCTCACTGCTCCCATGGGAATCTAATGTTTGCGCAATTTAACCAGCAATTTGAATCTGTCTTAAAATAACTTGACGGAAACCAAATGGCACTAGCGCTAAATCCATGTTTTTTAGTTCGTTTGCTGCCCTGTACCAGTCCGTCGATTAAGTCTAATTTAGATAGAGTTAACAGTGATACATAAAACTATTTAGATTCGTTCAAACACGCACAACACAATACGGAGTGATTCAGGTACGCTGCTTTTATAACCCCCTCACTATTGTTAATTGATCATTAGTATTGAAATTATCGCTTTCCTGTCTGGTAATTGACTACTTTTGTGTGCGGTCATCTAACCACTTAAAATCGTGGTGATATCATCACATAAGTAGGAAATTATTTATTAATCAGTTGGCATTTATTATATATCACGTATGGGTTCCGGGTGTCTAATGATGATGGGATTTGCACACCAGGGATTTTTTTCTCTTTGGTGCAGTTACATTAGTCGCCGCTTTCTAACTGTCCCAGTGTGTCATTCCTTATTCTGATATGTAGTATTATAGTGGCGATTATCCCCTTTTGCCTATGTGGAATGCATTTCACACGATCCTCAGCCATCATGGGTAGCAAGTATATATCGCTGCTTGATTGTTAGCAGAGTATCCTAAAATAGCTCAATTTTAATTAAATTAATGTGCTACTCCAACTCTCAATACTTGGTAAAAGTATGGTAGGAGATGTAGTTAGTGTTAGTGTCACTACCTGTTCTCCAGGTTAGCGTCCTGGTGTGGGGTTAGCATTCCTTTGATTTGGAGTGCTAGCTCTCATTGTTGGCATCCATCTTTTTCGTATACAAGGTAATATGTAAATTGCGTTACTGGGGTTTCTATCAGCCAATAAAATTCTTTCCTCGGTGTGATTTTTACCAGTTTATGGATGAGCTTTTATTTAGAATGCCTAGAAACCGTGCTGTAGGTATAATAATGGCATGTTGGCAGCAGCGGCACCTAGCAACACAGGGCACAGTGACACTGGAGTTCTATGGGTCCTATCGTTAGGGCCCCGGGTCGGTCAGCAGGGCCCATTTATTATGTAGAATAGATGTTCCCAATCCAGTATTCAAGGCAACCCCTACAGAAGGATTTAAGGCATTTCTAATTGTGTTGCTAGACTAGGTCTGCCATCTAGTGTGCGAGAATTGACTTGGTGAACGTTCCTCCTGGATGCCCTGATCTATTTATATAGCGGCAACATATACTCAGTTTCCAAATACATGTTGAAATGGACCCTCTTGCAGTTGGCAAGACATTTATAGTGAGCGATGTGGGAACCATCCCTGTATTGGCTGTATTCTGTGACCGGTTCACTGACTTCCAGTGAGTTCCGGCATTGCTGCTGTTAAGGAGTACAATCACAACACATAGACCTCAATGCAGTGAGTTCCTCCGGAGCATTGATTCGGAACTAATGAATCGGTTCGGATCCGGGGAATTTAATTACTGCCGGCACCTGTAGGGTTAACCCCCGGAGTGTGAGAGCTTATCCTGTGTAACACGGCCCTGGCTCTCCGAGGGTTAAACCGCTTACCGTGAACGGCCCGATGGAGATGATCTCATTAGTCCGATAGTATTATAGTATTGCACAGTAGGCGGGGGTAGTGTACTTTGCTATCCGAGAAATATTTCTCCTTGTGTTCATGGCTGCGGCGGTTCCTAAGATGGCGGCTCCAGCCCCTCCCTATCGCACGTACGTCACCTCCCTATTGTTCGTCACGTTCTTAACTCCTTACCTTCTGGGTGAGCGCTCAAGGCTTATTCATTAACCCCTTAAGGGCTGAGCCAGTTGTACACATTATGATCAAAACTTAAACAAAAATTGGAATTTGCGCTATATGTCTGTGCAACCATAATTCACCTATTTCATATTAAAGGAACACTATGTATTCCAGACCCTATAGTGTCAAACCCACTATTTAGGTGTTTTGGAAAGTTACAGGGTTAAATATAGTGCTTGCAAATTTAATTTTCTGGACTTTCTGCCTGGGTTGTCAGGCAGGTCCCTCAAATTGTGATCAATAAAATTACTTATGTGAAAATATTATATAAATATGCACGTAGAATTTAAATATTTATACATATTTATTTATTTGAAGTCTACATGTATATTTATGAAGTTATTTATGTAATTATGTGTATGGGTATATTTATATATTTTCTGTATTTATATATACATATAGATATATTTCATTCTAAGTGTATTTTCATATGGATATATATATCTATATCTCAAAATACACTTAGAATGAAAATATATATATAAAAAATTTTTTTTTTTAGAATATATACGATATAGTTGTGTGTAATGTTGTTCTGTGTATTTTTATATTAATATATGTATATATTAAAATAATAAACTTAGTATGACATTATATAGAAGATATCTATACATATTATATAGATATAAACATAGAATGTGACGGCAGATAAGAACCATTCGGCCCATCTAGTCTGCCCAATTTTCTAAAAACTTTCATTAGTCCCTAGCCTTATCTTATGGTTAGGATAGCCTTATGCCTATCCCATGCATGCTTAAACTCCTTTACTGTGTTAACCTCTACCACTTCAGCTGGAAGGCTATTCCATGCATCCACTACCCTCTCAGTAAAGTAATACTTCCTGATATTATTTTTAAACCTTTGTCCCTCTAATTTAAGACTATGTCCTCTTGTTGTGGTAGTTTTTCTTCTTTTAAATATAGTCAATACAGGGCTCGACAAATCTCCGGTCACCATGGCGACCTGGAAATTTGTCTTTGGCCCTAGGATTTGGATCAGGCGAATGGTCGGCTCATTGAGCCAGGACACAGGCGGCTGAATGAGGGAGGTGGACCGCTGGCGCTTTAATTTCCCTGCTCACGCTCCTTTGCGCGCCCTCCAGTGATGCCAGGAGCCGGAATATGATGTCATTCCGGCTCACTAAGCAGCGCTCTAGGGAGCAGAGAGATGACAGCAGCCCAACTGGATCCCAGGGAAAACTAATCCACTCCAGCTTTCTCAAAGGTAGGAAGGCTTGGTGCATTTAAAATATAATTAATGATTTTTGAGTGGGAAATAAGTGTGTGTGTGTCTCTATATATTTAGGTGACCTGACCCCACTCCAATCACATTAAAAGGGTGATACTCACCCTTTTTCCAACGCCATGCTGGTGATGCCGCGGCTGGCCCCACCTCCCTATGCAGAGCATTAATGTAGGTGCTGCACACTGTGCAGCACTGACCCGGGAAGCAATTCTAGAGGCTGTAAGAGTGACTTGCACTAGAGGTGTTACCAGACAGCAATGTAAACCCTGCCTTTAGTCTGAAGACTACAGAACAGCTACATTAAGCTGTAGTGGTTCTGGTGACTATAGTGTCCCTTTAAGAATTGTATTTTTGACATTTAAAAATCTGGCTCCTAGATTTCAAGCAAATTTGTTAATCCCTTATATTGAAATTATATTTTACTCCTTGTGTGTTATGACCGGTAAATCAGAACACTTAATGGAACACTATAGTGTCAGAAACACAAATGTACACTATAGTGTTAAACTATTTAGGTGCCCAGCCTATTTATGGAGCTTTTGCGCCCCCCGGGCCGGTGCACATAATGGCGGCCACCTTATGGCCGCGCCAGCCCACCTCATCGAGATTACCAGAGATTATCGGCCCATAATATCGACAAAACAGATAATCTGTCGATCCCTACTATGTGTGTGTGTAAATATTTGTATAGTACGTGTTCTCACAAAACCTAAAGTATAAATTGTTGAATCAAACTTTGACCTCCCAAACCCACACACACTGCAACACACAATCCCTGACCCACAAAGTTGTTCTGATATACACACTCTAATACACACTCAGACCTATATACACCCATTCTACATCTGACCCACGTATTGTACAGCCCCATTACATCCTTCATATTATGTGCAGTCTTCATAATCCTTCCGTTTGTCCCATTGACTTTTCTTTCCTCAATGCACAGTGTCGGTTGCCAGGATGACATGCTCTATCCTGGCAGTCGTCATCTCTCTTGGGCATGTTCTGTACGTCAGGTGATATAAATTCCACACCCCTGGTGTGAAATGTACTTTCAGATGATAAGATTTTTTAGTAACTTCTTCACTGCTTTTTCTTACATATGTAGCCATTGTGACTGAGTTGTTGTTTTTTTGTTCTTGTTGGCAGACTTAAAGGCCAACAGTCATCAAATTTTCAATTGTTTCACTTCTGTTATTGCTCTATGTGAAAATGCAGCTGCATGTTTTTAAAATTGTATATTTTTTTTATTTACAGTACATGTTCTGCTAAATAGAAAGGGGAACAATATTGTGTGAATACGTTTATGTAATGTTACCTTTGCAAAGCTTCCATGCATGTTCAGGTTTAGATTTGCCGTACACCAGTTTAACCTCTGTATTACTTGCTATTTTCCAGGCAAAAGAAATTTTGACAAAAGAATCCAATGTCCAAGAAGTGAGATGTCCAGTCACAGTATGTGGCGATGTTCATGGACAATTTCATGATCTTATGGAATTGTTCAGAATTGGAGGGAAGTCGCCAGACACAAACTATTTGTTCATGGGAGATTATGTGGACAGAGGATACTACTCAGTGGAAACCGTAACACTACTTGTAGCACTTAAGGTAAATAAATGTTCAGTCTTCTAAAATCTAAATCTTAACTATTTTTCCCATATGTATACTTATTGACAATTCAAATTCTCTTAAATTCAGTCACCCATGCAGACATTCATAAGCAAGCTTTACTTTACTTGTGCTATTGCATACAGTGGAAAAAGAAACATTGTTAATTATATTAGACTGGCCCCACAGGTCAGAACGAAAATTACCAGAAGGTCTGTGCATGAGAAAAAGAGCAAGACAGATTATTGCTTCCTGCCTCTTGTAGGTCTCGTCATTGATGTATAGAGAAAGGGGTCCACCTTGGTTGTCCTTTTAGTAGAAATAACTGAAGGTCTAAATGTCTTGTTTGACTGAATTACAACCATGAAACAGTGTTAGAATTGTCATCTAACTTGGGCTATGCAGTATGCAATAACAGTATACTATGACATGTTCACTTTAACGATTTTAAATTATTTCCATTAACCAGTCTCCTGCTGAGTATCAATCAAAAACATTTTTATTTTTTATTAAGCATTTATACAGTACAAGGAATACAATGTGCTCCATTAAAAGGAACTGGCAAGGTATAACAGGAGTGTGAATAGGTACATTCAGAGTGATACATCGGCTAGTATGCTGCAACACAGTGTATTTAACCACGTAGTGTACTTCTCTTATCACTCTTGTTCTAGGCATAACAGGGGTACAAAACATCAAGGTCTGTATATACACTCCACTTAAAGTAAACTTAAAAGGGATAAGTACCATTGGAATGATAATTTTGCTTAGATTTAGGCTTAATGCCTACTCATGTAAGGCCTGTGACTAGGACATCGCGGGGGTCAATCTCAGTGTATGTCTTTGTCTGTTTCCATAAATCGTGTCCAGGGTGACATTAGTGTGTATAGGGTATATTTATGTGTGAGTGAGTAGTGTAGTTCTTCCACTAGTCTGATGTTATCGACCCTTAGTATCCATTCACTGATCGAGGGGGTTAGTTTGTTTTTCCACTTTGTTGGGATCAGGAGGTTCGCTGCCATTAAGAGGTGAGAAGTCCGCATAGCTTGTGGTCTCGCAATTCCAGATGGGGTTAGGAGAAATATTAGTGCTTCAGGTGTGAGCGGGAGTGTAGTGCCTGTGATTAATTTGATAGTATTCGCTATTTTCTATAGTCATGTATAATTGGGTATGACCACCATATGTGTGCTGTTGTGGCTGGTGTATGTGTGCATCTCCAGCATTCATCAGGTGTAGTAACGTACAATTTGTGTAATTTGGCAGGCGTGTAATGCCACCTTATTTCTTTTGTAGTTGCTCTCCTGTATAGAGTTGCTGAAGGATGTGGTATGTGCTTTAAGCAAGATTTTTTTTTTTTTTTTTTTCCAAGTCTGTAATCGTTACAGGGGTCCCTAATTCTGTCGCCCAGGTCGTTGTGACCCCTGGAAGGGATTCAGTCTCCTCCTGTTGGGAGTAAGTTGTAGAGTGCAGAGAGGTGTTTGTTTAATGTCTCGAGTTTCCCAATGGGATTCAAACTTAGAGAGGGGATGAGAGAGCCAGAGGAGTGTTTCATCTGAGCGAAGATAGTGGGTTATGGGAGTATTGAAACATATCCATTAATGTCGTCTGCGTATCTGGCAACAATGTAGTCAGCGGTGTTGGGGACCCATTGGAGATGACGTCTTGTAAGGTGAGATGTGTCGTGGATCTATTGGGTTGAAGAAAACGTGCATGGGACCCTGGTATAAAGGATGGGGTTTTGTCAGAGGGTATAGTGGGGAAGGGTTAGGTGAAAGTGTGGGGGATGTTCTGACCAAGCCCCACACCTTCTGGGTTGGTGTTATCGTCAGGTGGTTAGTAGCCTGTGTTGTCTGTAATGCCCAAACTTTGTCCTGCCAGGGAACCGTATGTAGTGGAATTTTTTTTATTTTCAATCATCTGCCACGGTTTGTGAGGTGGTGGTGCCGTCCATTGATGTAGTCTGTGCAGGATGACCTCTCTATAGTACCTCTCCATGTCCGGGAGCCCGAAGCCTCCCTGTTTTTACCGTCTAGTTAATATAGAGTATCTGATCCTCAGTTGGTTGTTTGACCAAATAAATTTGGAGAGTAACGGTTTTTAAGTGTAGAAAATAATGTTTTTGGTATTGTACTGGGAAAAACTTGGAGCATATATAGAATTTTCGGTAAAGCGTTCATTTTTAGGATATTTATCCTGCTTAGCCAACCAAAATGCAATTTAGCCCAAGATATAAGGTCTTGAGAAATCGCGCGAAGGAGGGGGTTTTTAATTAAGGTCGTATAGGATCGATAAATCCTTGAAGATACACCCCCAAATATTTGATAGCTCTGTCTGTCCATGTGAATTGGAATTGTGCTTTAAAGTTCGTTGTAGTATGTGAGTGTAGATTTAGGGGGAGAATTTTGCTTTTGATGAAATTTACTTTGAAGTTTGATAGGTTATTATATAGCTCAATCTCCAACAGTGGGATCATAGATTTGCTTGGGTTTAATATTGTGAACAAAAGGTCATCGGCAACGCCGATACCTTAAAGAAGGCCTTAGTTGTGATGGCCAAGAATTTAAGAGGGTGATCTCTGATTCCCTGAATGAATGGTTCCAGAATCAATATAAATAGTAACTGGGAGAGAGGGCACCCTTGCTTCGTTCCATTACGGATTTTTACTGGATCAGATAGTTGACCATTGATCCTGATTTTCGCCCTCGGATTGGAGTAAATGGCTTGAACCCACTTTGTATCAATCATATTTTGTGTTCTTATCACTGTGCCGTTTGGTACAGACTAAATTGACTGGATTATAATGATTTTTGGTGACACTTGTTCTTTAATGGGCATACCATTAATAAACATTGACTAGAATGAGGCGGGAAAAAAAGCTTTTGTTTTCCTATGATCTTTTTTAAAGGGCCCCCTAACTTCGCTGAATTTAAGGTTATTGTGCCACAGTTTAACTTTAATCTCCTCGTCAGTGCCAGTTTGCTCTGCCCACTCCAACATCAGTTTTCTGAAACTCTTCAAAATGGAACCCACAGACTGCTAGTGTCAGGGGTGCCGCTGCTTGGTTTAGAGTATCAGCTTACACTGTAAGCCAATCAGTACAGCACCCCATTGCACATGTTTTCAAGCCAACGTGAGGGATAAAGTTATGGTGCCTCCAGTGTTCCTTTAAGCTTGGATATATTTAGCTTCAGCTTTTTGTGCAATAGCAAAAGATGTGTTTTATGACCAGTAGCTAAACTGGTAAACCACATCGAATTCTCTTATGCAAGCTTGTGTTAGCAATGATATCCAGTCTAAAGTGTTAATCGATTTTTCATTTCAGCCAGTAAGGAAAATGTATGCTTTTTCTCAGCATCTTGAAAAGATGTATATTTATATTCATGAGTTCTTGTCGGCTGAACAGATAGCGCTATTTATACATATTGCCCTCTTTCATTTTAGAATACCAGTATTCTGCAAACTCTCCTTCCCACCAGCTGCCATGGCAGCTAGTACATTTCTGTATCTGCTTAAAGTGTCCTTTTCCATAGTAACCAATGTGAGGGGGAACTAGAGTACAACATTATTAATGGGACAAGATTGGCATCAAAACGTCTGCTTAATGGCACAGTTTTAGTGTACAGATCACCCCTCAGCAGTTACACTGCTCAGTTATCTGCCATTTGGAAGTTAAATCACTTTTGTTTATGAAGCCTTAACCAGGTACCTACAGAGTATAACAGGCTATTAACAGAGCAGGAGATAAGAAGAAATTCTAAATTAAACTGTGTGCAATAAAGTAAGGTTAAGCATTAGATGTCTCTTCACAGGAAATGTTTGGGAAGGCTGTGCAAGTCACATGCAGGTAGGAGTGACAAGGGTTGCATAAACAAAAGGGTTTACTCCACATAGCAGAGAATTGAGCAGCTAGACTGCAGGTGCATGATATGTACACTAAAACTGCATTATAAACTAAAATTAGTGCCTTTAATTACTACAGTAATTTTGTTTTACTGTCATCTTTACTCATAAAGAGCAAAACTAAAGAATTTAAAGTTGAAGGCTGAAGTAGCTGAACTGCAAGCATAACTAAATTGGAGACTTTTCCAGTTTGGTTATATTGACATTAAATTTGAAATTCACCTTGAATTTAATTTGAATTCTAACTTTAGTGAATAACCCTGTGTTGCATAAATCAGCCCAACAGGGTGTTTATAAGCTAATTTATAAAGCCAGAGGTGTAAACATTAGAACGTCTGTTTTAAAAAAATAATAATTTGCTTGCTGGCATTCTTATTGTTTTAAATTAGCTTAGTGACTACTTTAACCCCTTAAGAACACATGACATGTGACATGTCATGATTCCTTTTTATTCCAGAAGTTTGGTCCTTAAGGGGTTAAAAAAATGATTTGCCAAAACAAATTTAGCTTGCCTTCTATTCCTACATTACCTGTTTCCCTGTATCAAAGTGGCCTCTATACAGCACTGTGGGCGACTGGCAACTACACCTAACAGTTGGCTTTGAATAGTTGCCTGGAACTTGATGAATATGAATTCCAAATATTAAAGAAACCAGCAAAATAGCATTAGGAACCATTGTTTTAGACACTAATATGTTTACACTTTTTCTTATATAGTTATCCCTGTTAATGGAATTTGCTGTTTTCTTTATTTCTTTAGTGTGACATGTCAAGCCATTATTCATAACCTTTTCATTTGTTTCAGGTCCGCTATCGTGAACGTATAACAATCCTCCGAGGAAACCATGAAAGTAGACAAATAACACAAGTATATGGTTTTTATGATGAATGCTTAAGAAAGTATGGGAATGCAAATGTTTGGAAATATTTCACCGACCTGTTTGATTATCTTCCTTTAACTGCCTTAGTGGATGGTCAGGTATGTTTAGCCCTGCAAAGCTTAAGCATTTGAACATTGCAAGTTTACAATCAAAAGTGAATGTTTTGTTGAAAGTGGAATTGGGACACTCCAGTTACTTGCCCAGACCTTTTACCAAATTCTTTTAAAATGTTTGAACTATAAAATTAAGAACTATTTCTTGGTTTAGAGTTTCTGCAAATTGTGTAAATGCCATGGTCTCCTTAAAGCTTAACTTTAAGGAGACCATTCTGTTTAGAGACATCGCTTAATTTACAAAGCCCCACCTATGGTGACATTGCCTCTGGGAAGGGAAATGGAAGTATGTAATGTTTATAAACTTGGTCAGATTGCATTATTTGGCAGACCTCTCAGCTAGGGGCATTTGTTCAACCTCACCCTCCCTTTTACTCCCTTTTTATATATATGTGTGTGTGTACACACACACACACACACACACACACACACACACACACACACACACACACACACACACACACACACACACACACACACAAGGTGTATTTTACTATATATATATATATATATATCTCAAATTACACGTAGACTGATACTGATTAAATATATATAATTATTGTTATATATATATTTATATATAATATAAAAATAAATATGTAAATACGTTAAATAAAATTAAAAAAATTATTAAAAAAATTAAATATATAGATGTGTTATTTCGTTCTACCTGTATTGTGATATTAAAATACACGTAGAACGAAAATATATATCTACATACATAAATATATACGTATATATACCTATATATAGATAAAAAAATTTGAAAAAAATTATATATATACACATATAGATTCACATACATATATTCTACATATATATTTATGTAATATTTTTACATAATTAGGTATCTTAATTAATTACAATTAGCAGGACCTGCCTGACAATTTAATTTGCTAGCACTATATTTAACCCTATAACTTTCCAAGACACCATAAAGCCTGTACATGGGGGGTATTGTTCTACTCGGGAGACTTCGCTGAACACAAATATTAGTGTTTCAAAACAGTAAAATGTATTACAACGATGATATCGCCAGTAAAAGTGCAGTTTTTTGCGTTTTTCATTTCATGGGGTATGTCCAGTCTTTTTTAGTAGCCACTTAGTCACAAACCCTGCCAAAATTGGCGTTTTTTTGCATTTTTCACACAAACAAATACGAACGCTAGCTTTGACCAGTGTTTGTGACCAAATGGCTACTAAAAAAGACTGGACATATACCCCATTTGCAATACCTTGGGTTGTCTACTATTGCAAATGGTATGCCATTATGGGTGTAAATTTCATTCCTGGGCTACTATACAGTCTCAAAGGCAACGTAACCAATCTGGCGAATTTCAATTTCAAATGTAACATGCTATATTTGACCCTGTAACTTCCCAAAATGCATAAAACCTGTACATAGTGGGTACTGTTTTACACGTAAGACTTTGCTGAATACAAATATGTGTATTTTATTGCAGTAAAAACAAACAGTATTATGACATTGACAGTTAAAATGTTATGTAGAACTAAAAAAATCTTATTTTCTCCCATTTTTTTCATATTAAATTGTTTCATAGCTAAATATTTGATATTAAATGAAAGCCCTGTTTCCCCTGAATAAAATGATATATAATAAGGGTGGGTGCATTTACTATGAAAGAGGTGAATTACGGTTGGACAGACATGTAGCGCAAATGCCAGGTTTTGTTTACATTTTTTCGTTCACAACGTGTACATTTGGCTCCGTCCTTAAGGGGTTAAACACGGCTGCAATTTTTACTAAAATTGCTTTGAAACTCACAACAGGATGTTGGGCATGTTAATAGATTGAGGAGGTACATCTCATGTGATGCTTTATGGATCTGCCTGAATGTGAATTTGTCTAGATATTTTGTAGATGACTAGTTCATCCAAGTTGGTGAACTTTCCTTGGAAACAAGTACGTGTGACTTTCATTACATGTTGTCACACGAAGATCAGTAGTCTTTGTTTTCTTATAAAAATCAATTTCCATCTTTTATTTCCTAATGTAAATGCTTTTCTATTTACATACATAACTAAAATGACAAAGCAAAAATACATTTTGCAGAGTAAACAATGTTTGTCAAAATGCGGAGTGCTTAAAACTATATTCCTAAACCTAATTGTCATTTAAATTTATTTTATTTTTTTGCATAATTAACCTTGGCTTCATATTGTTTTTGTTTTTGTCGTCTTTTTTGGGGCCCACAGGATAAAAAGATCTATTTTTCTTTTTTTTTTAAGTTTGAACTCTGTGGACTTAACCTCTTAATGACACTGAATCCCTTTTTATTTCTGAAGTTGTGTCCTTAAGGGGTTAAAGGGACACTATGTTCTGGTGTCTATTGTCTGTCCCTGTAGGCTTTTTAACCCCTTAAAACCGGAGGACGTACAATTACGCCCTCTAATAGGCGGCTCTAAACGCCGCCGGGCGTAATTGTACGCCCTCCGGTTTTTGTTAACTTACCCGGTCGCCGGCGGTCCCACGCCGGCGATCGCGGTTGGGGGGACTCCCAGGGAGCCCCCCGCGGCACGTCCGTCCTCGTCGAAGCCCCCCGGCCATGTGAGAGTGGGGTTCTAGCGAGGACCCCACAATCACATGGCCGGGGATAGCTGGCTTCTGTATTGCCGGCAGGGGGGCTGCCTGTAATGACAGGTGGTCCCCCTGCTGGCTGAAAATAAAATAAAAATAAGTTAATGGTGTAAAAAAAAATACTTATATATACTTAGATCATATATATATATATTATATATATATATATATGATCTAAGTATATATATATACACATATACATACACACACATACACCGTCTAGGTGTATTTTACTATTAATATATATATATAATTATATATATATATTAATATCAAATTACACGTAGACTGATACTGATTAAATATATATATAATTATTGTTATATATATATATATTTATATATAATATAAAAAAAATAAAAATGTAAATACGTTAAAAAATAAAATTTTAAAAATAATTAAAAATAAATAATTAAAAAATATATAGATGTGTGTTATTTCGTTCTAACTGTTTTGTGAAATTAATATATATATATATATATATATATATATATCTCAAAATACACGTAGAACGAAATAATATATATATCTATATACATAAATATATACGTATATATCACTATATATATATACCTATATATAAATAAAAATATTTGTAAAAAATTATATAGATATATACATATATATACACATACGTATATATACATATATTAATTCTACATATATATTTATGTAATATTTTTACATAATTAGGTATCTTAATTAATTACAATTAGCAGGACCTGCCTGACAACCCATGCAGAAAGTAAAGGGAATTTAATTTGCTAGCACTATATTTAACCCTATAACTTTCCGAGACACCATAAAACCTGTACATGGGGGGTACTGTTCTACTCGGGAGACTTCGCTGAACACAAATATTAGTGTTTCAAAATAGTAAAATGTATTACAACGATGATATCGCCAGTAAAAGTGACGTTTTTTGCATTTTTCACGCACAAACAGCATTACACGGACAATATTATTGCTGTGATAATTTTTACTGTTTTGAAACACAAATATTTGTGTTCAGCGAAGTCTCCCGAGTACAACAGTACCCCTCATGTACAGGTTTATGGTGTTTTCAAAAGTTACAGCGTCAAATATAAGGCTTGCGTTTCATTTTTTTCACATTAAAATTCGCCAGATTGGTTACGGTGCCTTTGAGACCCTATGGTAGCCCAAGAATGAAAATTACCCCTATGATGGCATACCATTTGCAATAGTAGACAACCCAAGGTATTACAAACGGGGTATGTCCAGTCTTTTTTAGTAGCCACTTAGTCACAAACACTGGCCAAAATTGGCATTTTTTGCATTTTTCACACAAACAGATACGAACGCTAACTTTGGCCAGTGTTTGTGACCAAATGGCTACTAAAAAAGACTGGACATACCCCATTTGCAATACCTTGGGTTGTCTACTATTGCAAATGGTATGCCATTATGGGTGTAAATTTCATTCCTGGGCTACTATACAGTCTCAAAGGCAACGTAACCAATCTGGCAAATTTCAATTTCAAATGTAACGTGCTATATTTGACCCTGTAACTTCCCAAAACGCCATAAAACCTGTACATAGGGGGTACTGTCTTACACGTGAGACTTTACTGAATATAAATATGTGTATTTTATTGCAGTAAAAGCAAACAGTATTATGACATTGACCGTTAAAATGTCATGTAGAACAAAAAAAACCAAAAAAAAACGTATTTTCTCCCATTTTTTCATATTAAATTATGTTTCATAGCTAAATATTTGATATTAAATGAAAGCCCTGTTTCCCCTGAATAAAATGATATATAATAAGGGTGGGTGCATTTACTATGAAAGAGGTGTATTACGGTTGGACAGACATGTAGCGCAAATGCCAGGTTTTGTTTACATTTTGTTTTGTTCACAATGTGTACATTTGGCTCCGTCCTTAAGGGGTTAATGTGAGAGAAAAGGCACTGTTTACATTGCTGGTTAGTAACACATCTAGGGGCAGTTACTCCTACTGGCACTAGAGGTGCTATCTGCGTTATGTGCATCACTGACATTAAGCGTCTCCAAACCTTACATGGAGGATCTGAACAGTCTTCATAGAGATGCATTAATTCAAGAAGGCGCAGCAGGTATAGACCACTGCGGCGTTGGAAAAAAGATGCACAAAGACACCTTTTTAAAGGCGGCAGGGAAGAGGAAACCTAAACTGTGCATTTAGACCCATAGTGTCAGGAATGCAAACACTTTAGTGTTTAAGTTTTTTCTTTTTTTTTAAAACTTGGCTTACTACGGAACTTCTGTAACTGGGTCTACATGTTATTGCTTCTATCAATACCTGATAAGATCAACAGATCTCTTCCCATGATGAGGCAGCCACACCCACAACTAGCTCACCTTCATATGTCATAATTGCTTTATTCGTGGCTGGTGCGCACATAGCTCGGCCTGGCTGCATTACTCATTCTAAGGTTTATTTTTGGAGCTAATTTTGTATAATTCCTAATCATAGCTAAGCATTATATAAGAAATGTAAAATCATCAGTGTCCTGGTTTCTAGTCTCTGTATCTAAAGGGAAACTAACATTAGAAATACATATTTGCTTCCCAGCAAAATAGGTTTTGGGTCCCAATTTTAAAATTAAAATAAGATTTACCCACCTTTATTCATCATCCCAGACACCCCTCCATAGAGGAGCCCTGAGGGGGTGCCATTGTGCACTTATGCTTATCTCTGCACTGTGCCAATAAGCGACTTCTCATAAAGATAAATTAAACAAATGTATCTATATGGGGAGGTTAATTGACATCATGCTGGGGATGGGACGCAGCATGCTAGCCCTACTTGCGTTGCCAGAATATAATGGGGAAGTGCCTCTAGTGACTGGACTGACAGCCACTGGAGGCATTTTTATGCTTTTTGGGGGGGCGGGGCGCTGTTTTGATGTTTAGTGTCCTGTGGATGCTGTCAGAAATGGCTGCAGGACACCTTTTAGAAACTACAGCATATTGCCATAAATGGTGATATAGTGTCTGCCACCAAAATGATGAAGAAAGTAAAGATGATCGATCACTTTGTGATCATGTCTTCACTATGTAAATATGCAGTAATCCTGGTACAATACTCCATATTTCATAGACCTCCGTAATGGCAAACCTGCCCGCACAAATTACAAACTTCCCATACACTAAAGAAAAACTGACAATTTTTTAAAGGCTTATTTTATGTATTGTATACCTTCATTGCACGATTTTATATTCACTTTATCTACCTGTTGTAAAGTATATGAATTGTCTTATGTTCAACAGATTTTCTGTCTCCATGGAGGACTTTCTCCTTCAATTGATACACTGGATCATATCCGTGCACTTGATCGTCTGCAAGAAGTTCCACATGAGGTAATTTTGGCTTAAAAAAGCACAGAGCAGAATTTTTCTACTTTGCTAGTTGTAACTAAAGAAAAGATGTGTTGGAGTTTCAGGATATGTCAATCTTCCTTAGAAAGGTAAAAAAATGTTTTATCCAATATGAACACTACTGGTTTAAATAGTTTTTGGTCTCAGTGCCAGGCAAAGCATCACACAGATAATTGTTAAAACAATTTTAAGCTTTGTAAGCTAATTTAAAAAGTTGTGTAGACTTTAGAATTTATTTAATAATGGAATGTCAATAACCTTTCAACCAGTATGAACACTGTTTAAATGTTTGTATATAAAGACTTTTCCAACTTAAAAAAATCATCAGAGAATCGTTTAAACTAGTTAATGAAAAGAAGAGTTGAGCCTAATATATAGAAAAGAAAAATACACTTAAGGTATAGAAAATAGGTTATTACCCCTAAATGGTGAACTTCAAGTTGTAAAATAAAAAAAGGAAATTTAAATAAACCAATAAGTGTATCTTCTAAATGAGAGGATTGGATAGTAAAATAAGTAAAACTTACTTTTTAACCTTAAAATATAGTACGCTGAATATATTTCTCCCTGTATAGAGTACTTATAAATTAAGCAAAAAGTAACATAGAAATAGTTTAACTGTAACTATTGTTGTTGAATATCACTGGTGCCAATGTGGAGCAGCTATGAGGGAGTGGAGAACCGGGAGAAAGTGAGTGACCCGGTTTCTTCTGATATAGGAAACTAGTTTGCCTACGAGGGCACCCTTTATCAATTATACTCTCACACTAAGCCACCCACATTACCGAAAAGATGTATTTTATCTAATCTTACATTTTAACCCTAAAATACAATAAAAGTTAAGTTTTACTTATCTTTCCATCTAATTCCCTCATATTAGGAAGATACTTATTGGTTTATTTAATTTTTCTTATTTTTCAACTTGAAATAGTTTGAACTATTTTAATCTGCTAGACTAGTACCCTTGTTGCTTTTCAAAAAACAAAACAAAAAAAACTAAGACTGTTTTTGGTAACTTGCATCCTTGACCATGTTTTGTCAAAAGTTGACCATTTTAAGTTAATAGAAAATTGTTTTTATGTTATGTTTAGGGGCCAATGTGTGATCTACTGTGGTCAGATCCAGATGACCGTGGTGGATGGGGCATTTCTCCTCGAGGTGCTGGATACACTTTTGGTCAGGACATATCTGAAACATTCAACCATGCCAATGGCCTTACTTTGGTTTCTAGAGCCCATCAACTGGTGATGGAGGTAAGTGAAGTTTTTAAGGAGTTTGTGATTGTAATCCTTAAACCTTGTACAACAGGCAAATGTTTTCTGAATAAACTGTGTTTAAAATTATATTCAGAAGGCAGTCTCAATTGTTATTGAAAAATGTTTGTGGGAATGTAATCAGTCATGGTTACGTTGGGGGTAGATTCTTGAGGTATTCACACCTCAATACATATTGCTTTCTGTGTGATAAGTGTTAAAGGAATCCACCAGTCATAGTATTATATACTTTATCTTTTTTTCTTTCTACGAATCCTGTTGGTTTTAATTGAGGGAAGATTTGTGTGACTGGTACTTTGCACAACTGACATTTTCAATCTGTTATTTCAGGGTTACAATTGGTGCCATGATCGGAATGTAGTCACAATTTTTAGTGCTCCAAATTACTGTTATCGTTGTGGTAACCAGGCTGCAATAATGGAACTTGATGATACTCTTAAATATTCCTTGTAAGTATAAACAACTATTTGTAATTGTATTAAGCATGTTAATGCTTCACATGCATCTGGGAATATAAGCAAATTTATTCTAAACATAGCTTTTCTGTTGTATTTTCAAATGGTTTAGTTTTATATTGTTTGTTTGGGGGGAGGTTTGTGTGTTCTGGCAAAAAAGGCCAGATTTCAATAGAAAATTGCACCTTGATAGCGTAATCTTGTTGTCAGAAAACCAACTGGTTCTGTACTGTAGCTAAACTCAAAAGGCAGGCAATTGCATATTTTGCAGGCTGTTTTAGCTAATCCCACAATGGAAAAAAAAACATGCTTACTTAAAAGCATAAATGTTTTAATTGGGGGAATATCAACTAAATGGGGGTATTTTATTTGGGCAGTGGAGTGTTTCTTTAACAAGGATTTGCTGGCTGATACTTTGCAAACAGTGTGTCATTAAAACTAGTGGCATCTTCCCTAAACAGATATTGTGCCTATGACATTTTGCTTCAAATGTGTCAAATCTGTAGAGCTTCCTGCTGTGCTGTGTGATCTTGGTTTCACCTCACACTGTAGTGGTTATGGTGTGAGGCATGCCTGCTGGCACATTAATTGTGAAGCGCTGAACCATGTGTTATTAACCGAAGCCATGCTCCAGCTGGGCTTAGGTCATTGACATTCCTGCTGTCACTAAGCAGTAGTGGAGGCAAGCAGTATACCCTCTGTAAGAAGTTAAGCAGCGGAGGGACTATTTGCAGAATGGTAGTGCTGGCATCATAACCACCACAGAGTGCTCAAAACGGAGTATTGCATGCCTTTATTACCTCCATTGGCAGAATAGTTCAAGTTTAACTTGTAATTGGCACTATGAGACCATCTGATAGAAAAATAGCAGTGTTTTATAGCCATGATAGGCAATTAAATCCTACAATGTAAGCATTTCTGCTCCTGCAGAACTGCAGTGTTTGCTTGGTCAAAAGGGACATTGCACATAGACCACTTCATCTCAATGTAGTGGTCTGGGTGCTTATAGCTTCCCTTTAAAGGGGCACTCTTAAGCACCATAATAATCCAGTATTCACAGTCCAGCCTTGCTGTTCAAGCAATGTGTGATCTGTCTGACAGAGCTCTGTTTTTGCTTGCTCCATTACCAAAAAGCTTCTTGATTCTGAACTGTAGCCGTTAGTGTTTAGAGTGAACCTTTGAGCAGCTTTTTATAAAACTGTATACTGTGGTAGACCTGGTGAACTCATACTTTAAAAATGCTGGCTTTCTCAATCATAAGTTATAATAGCATGATGTTTGCTATAGTATGTCTAAATGCAAGATGATGAAACTGTAGTTCTCAAATTATTTGCTAAAATTGAGCAAACTAGAAAAGTATGCTTTTGCATTCTTAGCCAAGCATTCTCTAATAATTGATGTTTGTATCATTTTTATTTTCAGCTTGCAGTTTGACCCTGCCCCACGTAGAGGAGAACCACATGTGACCCGTCGTACACCTGATTACTTCCTGTAAAAATAATTTTACACTTGTACAGTATTGCCACAAGCAGGATTTTGACCTGAAACTGGGAAGAGCAACAGTAACTTCAGAGTCAGAGCGTTGTCCCATATACGTACTGTTATCAAATGGACCAAAAGACGTGCCATATGAAAAAAATCTAAGCCTCTCATCTCAACAGCCGTGACCACATTAGAAAGACCCTGTCCATTGCATGCTGAAGTGACATTTTCAAAGAAATTCCCAGATTTCTGGCATAGCACTACTTGTAGTTCCTTTTGCTTTCTCGGAGAGACTGCAAAAAAACTTTAAGATATAAACATTAACAATTCATAATTTCACTTAACTTTCCATTTAGTGATAGCTTTACTCGGCATGATTGTAGAAAGTTTGAAAATTAAACCCTCCAGTGCCACAGGATGATCCACGCCAGTTTTGTGGTCTCTTGGGGTATGAAGGGATTAAAGGACCTTTTTAAAGAATAAGTATCATGGCCTCTGCAGACCTTTGTGACTTCAGAAATGTTTATTTTCAGGGAATACAGTTTAATTTAAGTTTTGGTTTTTATATATATTTCTCTTTAACCCCATTCCACCCTTTCCTGCCTCTCAGTTGGTCTATATTCTAGATGGTTTGAAGTTTCCTGTAAGACGCTGCTACAGCTCATTGCTGTAGTGTTTGCTTTTTTTTTTCCTTTCTTAATAAACTTGTGAACGAAGTCCTTAGAAATGTGAAACTTTTAATTTTTCACATCTGCTCTTGAAAGCTAAAATTACATGGTTAGTGGAACTGTATAAATACTCCAGAAAATCAATAAAGATGTGAGACCATTCATCAAACTGGTTGATTACACACTTGCTGCATCTGACTCCTGCAGTAACAAGTTATGTAACCTTTATTTTTAGTTTCAGTCATTTCTACATTTTCCTGAAAATTGTGTTAAACTGGAATATGATAATTTTGAGTGTAAAGTCAGTCACTCACTGACATCTTTAACACAGCTTGACAGCCAGTTAATTTGTCAGCCATTTGCTATAAGTGTATGTGACACGCAACACTGAAAGTTAATGGGAATTAAAGGCTTGACAAGTAGAGGAGCACTGCAAGCTGAAATTGACTTGTTCTTTTGCTAATGTAGTCTATAGATAATGCATGTACAAATGATTCAATAACCAATGCAACACAATAAAACAAATACTCTCACTTGAATTGCAACACTTGCAAGAAATTCCCCACACTTAGATCAACCTCTACTCTCAGCAGGACGTGGCTTGGTCAGTCAATACCATGTCTGGAATCTGAGCGGTTAGACATGTTTAATACAGGATTACATGTTTAATACATGCATGGGTGAGGGAGGGCTGATTTCCTCTGGAATGTGGTCTGCCAACAGACTTCATAAGCAGAAATATTTTAGTGGTACCAAAGTCCATAACATTTTTACTGTGCATCCTGTTATGTATAATGATGATTAACTAATCATTGTTTAGTTATAAGGGACAAAAATGTGGGATTACAAAGCTGTTTTACATAGCATGAAGGGTTAGAAATTAGAATGCGGTTTTTTTCACTTTGCAAAATGTTATGCATTTTGAACATGCTAATAAGTCAAAACTGTTCCTATCTTAATTTATGATAGTGGATGAAAAATGTCCATGAACTATATAGGCAGATTTTGAATTTAAATTCTCTTTTCCAGAAGTTTTGACAATAGAAAATATGCAAAAGTTTCTTATAAAATTGACCGCATGAACCTAATTCAAGTTGCAGGAGTTTGTTAAACTTTGTCTGAGGTTTTCACATTCTGGAAGTATAGAGCAGGACATATGACCATGAAGCATGAAATCTGTGCATGTATGAAGTATCTATTCTACTACTACTTCTAGAACACTCTAAAAACACTTAAACTTGAAGAGCTCTGTGTGTAGCTTGTCCTAATTATTTCATTATATAAAAGTGTCTGCCTCAGTAGAAATTAGTGCTCTCAACATCTCACTAGCTTTAAAATTAAATAAAATCCTTCATTTCTGGTAGTAATGGGGCCTGACATTAAAACAAATTGGGACATTTCTGGTCGTCATCTACTATGAAAATTGTGTCCATTTATATTTTGAGACCCCTCAAAATTTCAGTTTCTGGAATTTAGACTATTCAATGCCTAGTCAGTCAATATCTGTTCCCTTGTATAATGTTGCTGTAGTTTCATATGTCACCAAGGAGAAATGAGTGCTGCAGTTACGCGAGCTGCACCTTTTGGTATAAAGAGTGTTTAATTGTTCACTTTCAAGCATCTTAAACATTGTCCCCAGAAGTTGCTGAAATGTCGGGGAGAGGAAATTCTGAGCCCTGATTCAAAAGATTACTTATTTAAATGTTTTTCCAGATTGTGCTAATTCAGGAGACTATAGATGGGTTCCTTGACTCCTCTATAAGAAGCTCCATATTGTTTAACCCCTTAAGGACACGTGACATGTCATGATTCCCTTTTATTCCAGAAGTATGGTCCTTAGGGGGTTAAACGAAGTGGACCCCAGTTCCATTCTGACAGAAGAGTTTGTGGTCACGTAGTGCAATATAATGTGTAGTGTAACATTTGGACTGGGCATGCAGAACTTGGAATGCCAATTTAGATGACATCTTATGTTTGTCATACATCCAGACTATGGTCTAGGTTCAGATTAGAATTTCTCAGGCTTTTTTTTTTATTTTTTTAAACCAGAATATTGATTTGTGCTTTCAGTTCCATCACCTACATCATTCTTACTTTTAACAACCTCCCTCACTTCATGTTATTGAGTGGAACAGTTTTCAACTTCTAGTTTAGCTTTTGAATAATCTACACATTGGAGCGAATTTACTTGAGAACATCACGTTTCTGCAGCTGTGTTGGGAAACACCACCAGTAGAAATGATCTAAAGATTCAAAATAAAAACATCCAAATTTGCTTAATTTCTCTAGTGCGAACATGTCACACTTGCCTTTCAATGCCATAGTGCCATTTTGAAGGTGCAAAACTTCAGTGAAAGGTGTTTAACATTAAACAGAAAAGTAATGCCTGCGGGCTTCAGAAAATATAACTAAATAAATTTGACATTGATCAGTGAAACAATTTTGAGCATTAACAATGGATGAGTCCCTCTATGATCCATAAAAAAAAAAAGTATTGAAGACTGTGACCTCTTTGTGGTGACTAGCCTTTGCATTAACCTCATCTCCAACATGAAATTTGTTTTGCAGGTTTATATTGAGCAGTTATGTCTTAATTTACACATGGTACTCCCTACATAAAATTTGGAGCAAGAGCTAATAAGACGTGATCTCACAAATTATGAAATGTATTATGGACATATGATGTCTGGTATTGGTTCAACAGAAAGGGTTGTGTGATACAGGCTGTAAAAGAAGCTGTATGTAAGGCTGATTGATTTCTGTGGGTCTGACATTTTGCCCGTAATTTTGAATGGCTGGCTGACCTTATTTTAACGTCATGACTCACCTGCAGGGTTATTCACTAAAGTGAGAATTGTTGAAATCCAAGTGAATTTCACATTTAAGGTCAAGGTTTAACTGGATATTTAGCTGACTTTGGGAATTTTTCTTTTTATTAACTTTAATTTAGAAATTAACTTGGACATCCTAACAATTCTCATCTAACAATGCCATCCATTGTGGAAACTAACATATGCATAGATGGAAAGTTACTCTCTTCTCTAGATTCTCAAAGGTTTATTTACAAAAGTGAGAATTCAGTATGAATTTCATCTATAAGGTCAGAAAAAGCACAACTGACTTTTTCAGTTTGATTCTTAAGTGACAATTTAAAGTAAATATTTATATTTAAATAAACCTGGCAGTATATGTTGCTGTTATGTCCACACCACCTCCAAAAATACAACATATTCACCTGTACGTTCGGAAATGAGGAATTGTGAGAAGGACGATATCTTTCTCTCTCTATATATATATCTATATTTATTTATTTCCTGGCTAATCATGGCAGCATTTAACATATGGGTTTAGCTCCTCCCTCTAATCCTCAGGACAGGAAACACAATTAAGTGTACCTTCCCCTAGTATAATAGAGACACCAGAATCATCCATTCATCTCCTCAGTCTTTTTCCTGTCCTCATAGCCCTAGGACCGTTAACTTTTATTTATTTTCAGTTTATCTGAAGAATATATATTTTATTTTTTTTTGCTCACCTGACCATGTTGATATGGTCTTGTCCCTGTGGAGGTCAGCCTCCCTCCTCAGTAAGCCCAGGCACATGTAGCCCAATCTCTTTGCAGTTCGGAACCCCTGGGAGCCGTGGTGGTTAGTTCCCCAGGCTGTTGGAACCTTCAGACCTCGATCAGACGATCGGCATAGCAGTAAGACGCCCGCGCATGCTCAATGTGTATGACCGGAATCGGTGTACTTTAGCCCTTTTCCAAAATGGCGGAGTCGTGGTCTCGTGACCAATGAGCGCATGTGTGTTCCTTTAAAGGTACAGAGCGGGAATTTTGAAATGGTATTACAGTATCAAAAACGCGTGTTTCTCTTCCCTTTAAAGTTACAGTGCTCTACTAGACTGTTCCTAAAGCTCTGCAGGTAAGAACTTTTACTTTTCTCATTATTAATGATCCAAATATTTAGGGTGAGAATGCATTACCTTTTTTTAATGTTCTTAGCTCAACAGTCCGTATGAATCCATCATCCCCTTCTGCAAAGTCAACAAGAACTGCAATAGGTCATAGGTGAGCACCAATTTTTTTCTTTATTTTTCGCATTAATAAAAAAGAGAGCATGGAGGGTACAGTCTTATGACTTCTGTGTCTTACAGCCCTCAAGACCGGTCCGGCACCAGATCTCCATCTAGGAGAAGGGAAAAACCGGCAGCCTGCCGTGGATGCGGTGCAAGGCCTATGGCTAATTGCAGACCTGATGCAGAACGAGTGGCATAATCCAGGTAAACGGATTACTAGTTAAGGAAAACTTTCCAAATTATATCCGATTAGTGAGGAAGATTATAGAATGTGGACAGCTGTCCCAAAAATAGATGCTCCTATCATTAAGCTAGCAAAACGATCCATGCTTCCAATAGATAGCAATGCTTACCTAAAGGAACCAATGGATAAAAGGATTGATGCTGATATGACAGCGGGACTAGGATGCCATACGGCTTGCGTTCCTGGATCCTTGATTTGGAGGAAGACCTGGATAGAAGTGTAAGCAGACGTCAGATGGCTGAATCCTTAAGGGATATTAAACTTGCCAGTGACTGGCTTTTGGAATCCTGTACAGACCTTATTAGAATTCTCTCTAAGGTTATGGCTCATTCTGTCCCCGCCAGACAGGCACTTTGGCTAAGGTCCTGGAGAGCGGATCTTTCTTCGAAAAATTATTTGTGTACCCTTCTTTTTATGGAAGAGGTACTTTTTGGAAAATCACTGGATGAAGCTATTAAAAAAGCTGCTGACATTAAACAGGTCATGCTGCCAGGGACGTATTAACCGCAAGGCAAAAAAGGCATTTGCCTTGGGCGGCATTTTTCAGGGGGCGGCAAAAAACGCCGCCCCCAAATGCCCAGGGCAAATGTCTTGTTAGCCTTGCAGCTAACAGACATGTTGGTCTGGCGAGGGAGCACTTCCTCTGAGCGGTCTGCTCAGCTCACTCTGCGGCGCGCGAGGGAGCTGAGCAGACCGCTCAGAGGAAGTGCTCCCTCGCCAGCCGCCCGCCAGCCACTGGACCCCCAGGGAGAGAGAGAACCCCCCCAGCATTCCCAAAGGTAAGGAGGCTGGGGGGGGGGGTTAAATAAAAAAAAGTGTTAATGTGTGTCTGACTTTGTGTGTGTGTCTGACTGTGTGTGTATTTAGAAAGTGGGGCGGGGGGAAGGGTTGGGTGGGGGTGGCCTGAGTTTTGTCCTGCCGCAGGATAGACATCCTCAGAGACCTCATCTTGACCGTAGACCTTTCAGGGATCAAGGGTAATTTAGGGAGAATAAAACCTACAGACCGGGCAGAGAATACACTAGGCATTCTAATTGGAAGAGTGGTCAGAACGTTAAGTCTTCTAGGAACAAGGTGCAGACCTCTTCCTTTCGCCCCAACAAGCAATTCTGAAGGTGACTTGCTCTAGGTATCTCGAGTGAGAGCACGTCTGTCATTCTTTCAGAGGGCCTGGGAAATCGTTCCAGATGCATGGGTAAAATCTATCATCACCGGAGGATATCATCTGGAATTCAAAGAATTTCCTCCTCCACCAAGGTTCATCCGAACAAGGCTTCCTACCAACAGTCAGAAAAGAGAGGTATTAACTCTTTATGTCAGCAATCTTCTTCTGGAAAAGGTCATCATTCCTGTGCCTGTGGGAGAAAGATTCCAGGGATATTATTCTCACCTATTTCTGGTCAAGAAACCAGGAGGGAAATGGAGACCTATCTTAGATCTCCACCAGCTCAACCTTTACCTGAGAGTCAGAAGATTTTGCATGGAATCCATTAGTTCCATCATTCCTGTCGTTCATCGCAAAGATTGGTTGATCTCGATAGACCTAAGAGATGCATATTTTCATGTCCCT